GTCCCACCACCAGCACCCTCTTACGGCTACGATTATGCCCTCTCCGCAGCAGCGCTCTACTGCCCAAGGCATCTCCAGCCCGTATTGCAGTAGCACCATTCTCCATCTCCGCGCCCCAATGCAACGAATCAAAGCCCGGCCAGTTTGCACGTACGGACCCGTCAATCACGGTCGAGTATCCGGCGGAGAAGGATATGCCTTCTAGTGCGCCGGTCCGCAGGGTGAAGAGGACACTGGGCAGCTTCTCGCTGGAGGGTAAAGTCGCGGTGGTAACCGGGGGGGCGAGAGGGTGAGTCTTGCTAGTTTCTTTTCTTTACTTCACCTCCTTAATTAATCTCCGACCTTTCTTTCCTCTTTTTTTTGCTTTTGCTTTTGCTGGTGCCAGTTATCTGGGTGTAGTATTTGCATATTGGGAGTCAATTGGAGTGAGCAACTGGCTCTAGCTAGCTGGATTTGGTCTCCGCGTGCGATTGCAGTTTATCGCATCGGACGAAGATGTCGTTGCATGCAGCGGGAGAAGAAAGAAAAAAACCTTATCTATCAAAAAAGTCCATTACTACTACATCTTTATATATATATTTTCTTTCCTCTATATTGGTTGGGCCCGCGAGTAATTTTTATTGACCACACATAGTCTCGGATATGTGATGACCCAGGCCCTCGTCGAGTCGGGTGCTGATGCTGCGATTGTAGACCTGAATGGTATGTTATTACTCTGTCGAGTCGGGATGGTTAGGGATGGGTCAATTAGCAAGGGAGACTGATATATTGCCGCCGGCGGTATGGTGGTGGTGATAATGCAGGCGAGGAGGCTATCAAAGCTGCCGAGATGCTGCTTAAGCACTTTAGAGATACCAATCCTGATGCAGACCGGTAAGTGAAGTTTTTCCCACCCTACCATCTCGAGCGCCGCGCGCAATCCAGCACTTTTCTTCTGCAAAGGCAAAAAGGAATCAAAAAAAATCGCTAACACCACCATGCAGAGTGCCCACAATAACCGCACACTCAGCCGATGTCTCCTCGCCAGACTCGGTCAAGGCCGTGATGGAAGAAGTTCTCTCCAAACACAACAACCACATCGACGTCCTCGTCACCTCCGCCGGTTTCACAGAGAACTTTAAGGCAGTGGACTATCCCCATGATCGCATGCAGAAACTCTGGGGCGTCAATGTAGATGGAACATATCTGTGCGCCGTCGAGGTTGCGAAACACCTCATTGCCAGCAAGAAGCCAGGCTCAATGGTATTTATTGGCAGCATGAGCGGGAGCATCGTCAACGTTCCCCAACCACAGGTTTCCCTCCCCTCCCCTTTCTTTTTTTTTCTCCCCGCGCTCCATACGTAGAAGATAAAGTGCTGAAATGAAACTACTTAGGCACCGTACAATGCGGCCAAGGCGGCCGTGCGCCATCTTGCGTCCTCGATGGCGGTTGAATGGTCAACGCATGGTATCCGTGTGAATTGCATTTCGCCGGGCTATATGCTCACGGCGCTGACAAAGAAGATCCTCGATGACAACCCGGAGCTGAAGGCGAAGTGGACATCGCTGATTCCACAGGGACGCATGGGGAATCCGGAGGATTTGATGGGCGCGGTGGTGTTTTTGGCGTCGGATGCGAGTATGTATGTTACTGGGGCGGATCTGAGGGTTGACGGAGGGTATACCGTTACTTAGAAGTCAGTTGCTGGAAAAGTAAATTGGAGGTTTTGTTTATTTCTTTATTTGTTTGGCTTTGGTTTGTAGTGGGATAGTGTAGTTGCATGTAGATTGGTTTATGAGAAGAATTTATATTTTATATCATGACGTCACAGGGGAGCTCTTTGTGTGATGTTTGTGGGGCGTCTGTGTGGGCTCTACTCAAAAGTTCTTGGCCCCCGCCTGGGCCTAGATACTAATACGATACCAAGCTTTCCGTCTACTACTCTTCTCATATCACATCTCTGCTCACATCTCTACTCACAGTACCGGACCAAAAAAAGATATTTCATCTCCACAAAACATCTCATCCCTTCCGTTCACGTAGTCTGTAATTAATATCCACGGAACGGAACGGCGGCCCCGAGAACACAACATACGGGCCGGGCGGCAACAGCACAGTACCTACTGTACAGTACGTACGTACGTCGGCGGGTGTGTGGGTGGTGCTGCCGGACGGCGGCCACGCACGCCGGGTGCGGGTGCAGGCTCTTGTTTAGTTTGTGTTTTATATTGAACCCGCAGTGCAGCTGTCAACTTGTTTATATTGAAACCCGCATTTGTTTATATTGCGATGGACATGTAGATCTTGGTAGATCTGTACCCATCTGTGGCACCGCACAGTGGAGGGAACATATATCTATCTAGTTATCTAGCCGGCTGGTGGTATGTAGATTAGATGGGGGATTTGCTGGGTTCAAAATGATAGTCACAAAGATGTGAAAATGTAGGTAGAGAGCGGCGGTAGAGGTATGTAGGGAGTTTATTCACCCGTAGATATGTGGGCACGTGAGCAGATTCCGAGGAGTAGACCACGAACAGGTGAGCGTCTCGAATAAACAGTTATAACCCAAGCGATTGATAGATACCGACGCGACGCAGATCCAGAGAGTATCGTTTGTTCATTTGTTTATTTGTACATAGGTATCGCAGGGCCGGACGCCAATACTTCATGTTTCACCTCACAGCGCACTCGCCCCCGCCCGCCGGCTCTAACCGACTGGCTTGGCTTAGTATTCTGTGGGGAAGATTGTGGGGAAGTGAGTATTTGGGCCTGCGGTTTGCGCGCGAACTGTTGTGCGCATGCAAGGTTCCGGGTTCGTTTCATTAAGGCGTCGGTTAGTGGTTGTGGTTCGCCTCGAAGTCGTAAAGCTGAAACCACTGTCGTTCACGGGGTATTGGCGAATTGCAGGTAAAAGTTGGCTTGGCTGTCTCTTTTTTGCCCTGTCCACCATCACCCAGTATCCGCCAATACCCCGTGAACGACAGTACTTGGTGTAGCTAGGTAGATGCTCGAAAACAACCAGGGGGGGCGGAGATGATCAACGTCAATACCGACATACATAGCCTATGCAGCTACATACGACAGCAGCGACAACAACGACAACGACGGGGAGGAAGCTAGAAGGAAGGTTATTTCACATGGAAGCTTTGAGACCCCTAACCAAGTCATCCAGTCGAGCCCGCGTGATTCGTGTTTTTAGTCTTCCCGGCGGGTATTGTATAGGAATGTTATCCATCAATTCATTTCATTTCATTGATCCGATCCACATGATCCACCTTGATCACTCTGGATTGCTTGGGTGATTGTTGAGGGTACATAGGACAATACCTACTATGTACCAATGGGATATCATTAATTTCGAGGAATGAAATGACCGGCTCTATGCGGCGGCGACGACGACGGCGAGGCCTCCAGGAGCGGGAGGGATGGACTCATCCTATCTCATCTCATCCGAGCTGCTGTATAAGCAAGCTCTCTTATGATAGCCATCCATCCATATCCATCCACAGCAGCCGATACAGACCCGCGTATCCCGGGTGTCGAAGCAAACAAGTTCCTACAATGGTAACCACTCCCATCTACACCAGTGCAACCACCAGTGCAACCATGCCTCTGTACAACCCTCACTGCCATTCTCACCGCCAGCCCGATAATTCCACAACCCGGAGGTTTTTGGTCAGGTTGTAATCACCCCCACGCCCGAAGATGATGATGCAATCCCGCACGCGAGTTATCGCTCATGGTTAATCATCCACCTATCTGCCACATCCCCATCCCCATCCCCCATCGTCTTACCTCACCTCACCTCACCGAAGGATAAAAAATAGCCGCCGCTGCGCCGGCAGATACTTACGACGGCGCAAGAAATGACCTGACGGCCCGAAGAAGCAGGCGATCCATAGATCCAGAAGGTGTTATTGTCCTGCGTGCGAGGCCTCCTGAGGTAAGGCAAGTTCCAGGCGAGATGGGAGCAGATGGAAAGGGTCCTGTTGCCGAGTAAAATGATTAGTATTTGTTTCATATGGAAAGGAAGAAGAAGCGACGTACAGAAGTTGTGTCTACTGTAATGGAAATGTTGATATCTATGTGTTAACTCCGTGAGCCGGTTGGTAGTACAGCGGTTGCTGTTTGGGACGGTAGGGCTAGGGTTGTGCTTATTTGCAAATTGCTGCATTAGCGATCATTTCAACCGCTGGTTCAGATGATATGGAAAAATCTCCCCGCCTTTCATCCAGACTGGAGCTCAGCCTGTAGACTCCCGCATCGGATGCCCTCAAACGATAGGTGGGGCATGCAAATACCCTTTTTTTTTTTTTTTTTTTTGCGGAGAGGGACTTGGCCATGTAGTCATAGCGAGAAAAAAAATTAAAGAGACCAAGAAAGAGGTCGATGCTGTGGGCACATGAAGACAATTCACTCTTTGTAGTGAACTGCTGTCGTTACGACACATTCATATGCAAAAGCACGTTTGACGTTTAAGGATCCTCAGGCGAGGTGACAAACAGATGCATCCTAACGCTAGATTCCACCGATCCCATGCATGACACCTTGCAGTATTCCCCTTAGTTATGTTTTTGAGGGTTGAGGGGGCTTGAGGGCTTGCATGAACGTCCTGCTGAAGTAATTACATATCGGAATTGTCGTCTTTGACAAACTTGTTTTGGGGTTTTTTTATCTTTGATCGGAAACTAGCGGAGAGAAAGAGCGGGCCGGAAAACATTTGACAAAGAGTTTGAGTCGATGGTGGATGATGATCGGTTTACAGCGAAGTCTCTTACGTCTTCGTAAAAACTACTCTGACAGTGCATAGAGCCAGAGTTCATGAAGTCAGTAGTTGAGGTGGTCTAGGTGGTTTAGTACCAAACTGCATTTCCGCAAAGCACATCGATCCACAAAACTCTGCAGGAGTCGCCTTGCCAGGATTCGAGAGTTGCATTGTCGCAGAGCAGAGCCTCTTCCCCGCACATATTTCTTTTGCGGCAATCCGCATAAGTATCGACGATCACTTGCTTGTCCCCTGTCAATCCGGAGCTCGTGACCGACGCGACACCTAAATAGCAACATTAGCTATTGCTGCTCCTGACATTGATGGAACCCTATCATGATACGTATTCCGCGGTACCATAAACAGCATATATACTAGTTTATTTTTGCCAACTCTTTTTATGTACTCTATCGCACTAGGATTCATGGGCTCTCAGCTACATACCGTTAATTGTATGTAGTTGTTACCTCATGTCATGTCTTCGTAGGTCGAATTTAGTAGGTACACCACGTGGCCCACCGCCTCAAACCACAGACGCTGAGAAACCGCAGCAAATCCCCGGCGGCCCCTTGTTAGAGAGTCAGGGTGCATAAATAAGCCGCTGCCCAGTAAAAACGGCTTCGTGGTGGGATCCGAGACGTAACCAGAAGGAAAAACCCGCACTTTAGGGCCTCTCAACATCTCAATGACATAACTCTAAAATCTGCCTTCCCAGATATATGTATGCTCTATGAAGATGAGCTCAGGACTTTTGAAATTTTGTGGTCACTGAGAAGCTTGGATGAGCTTGTTGGTTAGAGATCTTGGCATATTCTTGGCAGGGCTCACTAGCCCAATCTGTCACCATAGTTAAAGATGTAGAGTACGCCAGGGGGGAGGTGCAAGTCTAGAGCTAGGTGTCAGGAGGAGATGTTTCAACAATCAATTGGCCAAACCCCTTCCCTCCAGCTTCACCCTTCTTATGCCTGTATGTATGTATGTATGTATGTGTGTATGTATGTATGTATGTACGTATGTGTAGGTACATACAGCTCTTCAAGCCCAAAAAAGTCACAAGACCTCTCTGAAAGCTTCTCGATCTTCTCGAGAATACGCGATAGCCGAGATCGACTGTTCGTCCCACAGTGATATTCCAGAGGTACTCTGCTCGAGAAGGCCACTGTCCCTAGTCCTGTGGACCCTGTCAGAGTAAGAAATGATACACAACGAGAGACTACATGTATGTAAAATACGTACTCAACCTACCCCGGATTAAAGTCTCCCCTGCCCCCTTCAGCTGTCATGCTGCACCGTGTGGTTACACTTCCACACAAACATCGCGGATATATAACCGGGCTCCGGCCTTTCCTTTCTTGCCAGGATGAATGCAATTTCATGTGCCAGGATCTGTATGCTCTATGTATACACATATCAGAAAAAACTACACTTCTTACTCTCTTCGAGATGCCTCGTTGAGATGAAACAAAAGGCGGATATAAAACTACCTGACTGACTGCCCCACAACCTCGGGGGATACGTGTTCGGCGAAAATATTACCCCACATTAATTATCGTACCATGTACCTTGAGAGCTGGGGAGGGTGGAGGGGCCTGCCTTGAGACGGAGTGATTCACCCCGGTGATCGATTCACACTGAAAGCGGGAAAAAAAGAGGGCCGTGGATGAGTTTCTCTTAAGAAATGCAATGTCCTTTCTTATCATAATATGAATCGTGATAATGGAGTCGCCTTGGATCGAGGGCATGTAGGGGGCGTTGATGTGTCGAGAGGAAATACGTGATTAGCATCTGGTGGTAATTAATGCTATCATCTTGAACAGCGTGGTCTTGTGGACGTTGTCAGCGTTCTGGATCTTTGGAGATGAAAGTATGTAACACGTCTGCAATGAGATCTCGAAGTCTTGGTCTTTACTTGGACGCACAGCACTCGAATCCCGGTAATCTGGGTCCCATGGGGAGCAGGGATGGTAGAGGGGATAAATAAATAATGTTGCATACACACTTGGCTATCCATGCCATTCTATTCGGTACCGATATCTATCCTCAAGCTTGTGAGTCGGAGCACAGGTTTGTAGGTACGTACTCCGCAGTGCCGAAAACCTAACTCCCGTGGCCCCGGGAACACGACCAATAACGTGTCCACATGAGAAGCTCAACTCGCATCTAGATTTTGCATACTTGAAACCGTCGTCGTCGACATATTCCTATGATAGGGAAGACGTTTAATTGGTGGCTAACGACTCTTTCCCTAGAATGGAGTGCGCACAATCCCATCTGAAGAAAGAGTGATGATCAGACGCAAACAAACATGAAGATTTTTAGGTAGCCGGTTTTGTTCACAATTGAACCACAAGCATGTATGTAAGGTGCTACAAGACTTCTAACTTCCACTTCCAGCGTCAACTTTTCGTTAAAATTATGGCGAAACCCGAGACGAGATAGAAAAAGGAAGAAGGGGTGGCTATCTAGCTCAAAACCAAGGGATGTAAAGCGTATTTCCACGGCCTTCCACATTCTGTTGAGTTTCAGAGAAGCCAGGCAGGATGAAAAAGTAAGTTTTCTAGATAAAATTTACATGTAGTTATCTCGATCATAAAAATAGAAAGACCTGGGACACTGATAATGCAAATGCAGCCTCCGTAGGGTACTATCACAAGTCTAGACATGTGGGTTTTAGAAGTGGGTTAAATTGTGAGCTGCGCTGGATTAAGGATATCTTTCTCTACGTGGTTATCATGATCAGTATTATATTACAGTAGAGTAGAGCAGAAAGTCCAGAGTATGATGATGTATGTACATATGTCGTGCTGCTAAAAGAGCTTTGCTGGCTCGTTTGCCCATAAGCGGTTGTGCCACAGGTGCATGGCGCAGCTAGAAAGATGTGAACTTCAAACATGTGCCTGTACCCCGATTCGATTCTGCAAGACCGCGGGCATCTGGCCTCTCTGTTCTACCAGAGTTGATGGCAGAGTACGTACGTACATTCATCGATTCAGTACTCTTCATATGGAGTGCTCTACTTGTACTGCCCTGTGAAGAGCATGTACTCCACCTAGAGTAGAATAGGTGCCTGCTCTACTCATTACAGACAATTTTCTGACCCGAGACCGTGGAGCTGTCGTCGACCAGGTTTCTACCCCACGCCCGTTCTTCCCCCTAAAACTAAAACATCCACGGCTGCATCTATCTGGTCTCCCGTCATGGCGCAGTGATCTCTCTGCCAGTAAAAATGGCTGAAGCCACGGACGAGGCGTTTTTAAAGATTGAAATGAGTTAGGAGTCAGAAAAGGTGACTGTGAACGGACGTGGCAGATAAATGAATCGAACAGGTATGTACTGATCTAATCCAGTGTGAGGTCTGTTCGCTTCGCATCTCAACCACACATGGAATTGGATTTTGATGTTCATGACTCCTGCAGCAGCAGCAGCCGTTATGATGGATGGATGGATATACGGATGATATAACTGGAAAGTTGCATGATGACGGATAGCTGGATTGTTATGAAAAGAAGCTACCACCCTGTTCCCGTACTCCCGGCTTTTCTGAGAAAAAGATATTCCGCTGGAAGCCCTCCTTACTCTGGTAACCTCGTTATCAATTGCTACGACCTGATCTGATCGGTCCAGCCCTACAATTTGGACTGTAACCCTGCCGCCTCAAGCCTGATCTATCTTCCTATCTACCCCTCTGGCTCTAGAAAAGACATATATAAAAAGCACGCCATTACCCCGGAGATTCGCTTCCCCGCCAATCATTCCGACTCCATCTGTACTCCGTAGGCAGCAGCAACAACCTGTGTTGTCATTTGGAGACAACTGCAGAAACAACCAACAATCCTCGAATAGTTTGCCGTGGGTCCTCTATTTCACTGCAAAGTTGAAAGTAACTCACTCACGTGGGTTTATAGCTTCATCAGCTCATTTACCCTTTACACGACCCGCCAGGGGGCTTTTATTCCTTCTCTTTCTTTTAGTAGACAGCTTCTATCTGTTTAGTAGGTAGTGGGGGTTTGATACAGTAGGGCGTGCCGAGCGGCAGCTGCCAGCAGCATCAGAGAAAGCAAAAAACAAAACGGAATACAGGCGATAAACGATACCGAGGATCGAATTTTGTTTGTTTTTTAAAAAAGAGAAGAGAAAAAAAGAAGGAAAGAAAGGGGAAGAAAAACCCAGCTGAGACCCTCCCACTAGCCGCGAAACGACCAAGAGAAAGCGAGCATCAAGAGAAAAGGAGTCAACGTGAGGCGCAATATTTTGCATGCGAGGGAGTTTCGAAAAGTGTATGAGTTGTTGTGGAAGGAGTTACTAGTATCATACCTATCTGCTTGGTAAGTGAATTCAACTCGGGGATTTGTTTGAGTTATGCCCGTCCCTGCCCCACCCCCCACAGCCCCTGCACGGAAACGATCTATCTTCTTGATGATAATCCACATCAATAAATCTGCCTCTATTCTCATTCTGAGTGGTGGTTGTGGTGGTGTTGAGGAAAGGACGGAGCAGATTGCGGATTTCAGCCCTTTAGCCCTACCTACCTAGTCTTCTTTTTGCCATGCGAGGTTGTTTGGTCGTTCAGTGTATGTGCGGCGGATGACCTGCTGACCACACAAGATCCCAGACTAGAAGTACATACACAACGCAGCTGCTAAGGTACCGCAACTTCCCCAAAGTAGTTAACTTTAGTGTGGTGCTTTGCACACTTCGCCGTTTCAGCCGTTTATATTATTATTTAGGGAATCTCGCATTTTTATTTGTTAGTGTTCGTCCCTTTTCCCCATATTTTTTGGCCTTCCCAGATTTCCGTTTTTCGCCTCTTTATCACCTTCGATCCACCGTGCACCCTTTGTGTGCGACATTCTTTCACTCTCTCTCCACGAAGTCACCTGGGTTCAAAGAGTTGGGGTCACCCTTGCTTGCGTTCTACTACTATCTAAAGCCCAGTCAGTGGTGATACTTCTATTTGCCCCTCGTACCTTTCCAGATTCTGAGATCGCCGGTTTCCTTAAATTGTCATTTCTCAATAAATAAATTTCGAATTCTACCTCTTCCCCCCACCCACTTCCATAAAACAGCGACAAGAAAATACTGGAAGCACTATTTTTCTATAATTTCGTTTCATTTCTAACCTCCGGGAAGCAAAGTAGGCCTCGGTTGTTTTCTTTTCCCCGCAAAAAAAAATATCCATTTGAAAACGGCGGCGCCTTCTCTCTGTCCCTTTTTTTTCCTTTTTTTTTTCCCTCCCTTCTTTCTTTCGAAACTAGTGAGATCGTATCCTCCCGCAGCAAAGAGCTAGGTGAAACGGAAAACGTCGAAATAGGGAATCGTAACCCCAAGGACAACCCAGTAATACTACATACGTACATACATACCTACCCTTGGGACCACTCAAAGAGCTCATCCGGTACGTGGGAAGTAAACGAAGGCTTTTCCTAAACATACGTTCGACTGGGGTGGACAGGTTTACCTGCAAATCAATTCACGGCGTCTGCAGCTTAAACCGGACGTACAAATATCGAACTCATCCCAGCAGAGCAATAGTAGGGGAAAATAAGAAAGCCGGGTTTTCGAGCAGAGCTGGGGTTGGAAGGTGTGAAAAGAACTACATACCTAGCCGGCGACCTACTTGCACCTGCTACTAGTGTTAGAAATTTCTCAACAAATCTCAACAGTCTTGTCGTCTAGAGTCAAGATTCCGGGAAATATATATCAAAGGTGCACAGAAGACTCACGGAATCTTCCCTCCCCCGATACCCGCACCGACTCACCGGAAGAATACATATATTTCGGATCACCACCCGGACAACACGTGAAAGAAAGAGAGATAGGGAAAGAAGAATTCAAAATCACGCTGGCATCTGGAACTGATCTCCAACTGTAAATATTTGACAGGTCCAGAAATTTCTTTTTATAACGTAGGTTTTGAGTTTCATAATACCTTTATATCTTCAGCTCTTTTCCCCTTGCCCTTTATATGTCGCTTGTATATAATCTTGTCCCTGCTGCCAGAGCTCGTCACTAGCATTATCGTGTTCCCGTCGCCCCTTTGTTTTGGATTTCTGATCTAATATTGCGTGGTTTGTGCAGAACTCATCCTTCCCAAGTAGCTTTTCGACACACGCCGCACACCGCACAGACTATACCTACCATTCTCATCCATAAAACGCGCGTGAGGACTAGACAAGCAAGTGGAAATTGCCATCTCGAGCTTCCCTACCATAAAAAAAACCCTGCGTTGCTATCGCAACTGGTGAGTAAATAAATGACATTTGTTCTACTATTTGAAGCTATCTTTGACCCCCCCACCCTGTGAGGCCCTTCCTTTAACAACCAATGTTTGATCCTATGAATGTTCACTTCATCCCATCTTCCCTCAGCCCACAACGATGCTTTTCTCTTCTTTTCTTTGTGAATGCCTTCTCTGAGCACGTACTTTTCTTCTGATACGAATATATCTTCCAGCGCGCTAAAACTATATCAGCAATACAAGCTCAGGTTATCAAATAGCGCGTAGTCACGGCCAGTCGCCCCTGCCAACGTAAGCGTACAAACGAACCACGGCCACACCTCCGCCACCCGCAATTCGGGCGTAACAAATTAAAAACCGGGGAGACTTACTACAACGTTTTTTGTCTCTCTGTGTGTTTTTACAAGACATAACTAGACAAGGAACCGGCCGGAAACGCCAGCTCACGGGCTTTTTAGGAAGCAACCCACAGCTGAAATAAGGGCAACAAATCACATCAAGGATCAACTACCGGCTAGTTAGGTACCGCACTAGCGTACAACAATTGTCGGGTGTAAATATTCTAGAACTCTGCTATATCTGCTCTAGTGGGCGGCCGCAGTCAGTTTTCGACCCAAGCCTAGAGCCCGGCGGTCTTTCAGATTTTCACCCTTTTTCTCTATCATTACTGTCACTCTGCCAGTCTATCTACCTCCTCGTCCCTGGACTTGGTCCAAAAGGTTGCACGTTCTCCACCACATCAATAACAATTCAGGTATCACGAGGAATCGAATCAGGTTATTTCGGTTCTGCTGTGTTCCCTTTTTCAAACCTTTTATTACGAAACCCGCGACTAGATCTCGGCTGTAGATCAGATTCAAAATGAAGCCAATCGGCGGGATCATCACAAGCAAAAAGTCTATCCCAGACAACTTTCGACAGGTAGAAACATTTACGACGGAATATTTGAGTAAACTATGGAAGAGTGCGTCTAACCTATCCCCTTATGTTTCTTTTACTACTACCTTCTCCCCCCCCCCCCCCCCCCCCCTTTTTTTTTTTTTTTTTTACCCTTGAGATGTTTTTCCCCTCCCCAGAAATGTATAGAGAGCATTTCTGTCCCAAAAACTCTCTCCCTTTTTTCAATATCAACATTTCTTACGAGCAGCAATAATCAGACACCAACAACGGGAAGGGGCAAATTTTCAAATCTCAAAAAATCTCAAACCTCAAAGTGGACATCCGTTGAAAACTTATTTAAATAACAGATTTTTAAACAATAATCAAAAAAATGCGCACTGCTAACAATTACTCCCCTTTGGGAATTTAGTCTACACTATCAATCGCGACGTCCTCGATAAAGGTCGCCGTCTAGAGAATCTTTTCTGGCGGATATGGGGCAGTGAACGAATGAATCGGAACTTCTCCGGGCAGAAGGTTTCCCAAATATTTACAATGATCTTCGAAAGCGAATCCGGATTTGAACTTAGCAGACCGCCTCCTCGGCCCATCCGCGCAGCTCTTCCGCCACCCTCATCCCCATCATTTGTGGCTGATATAGACACTCTCAACAGCCCCCGCCCAAGCCTGGAGATAGAATGCCCTCCGACCCCACCGCCTAGCCCAGTACCTCCTGTTACGTCAGTTGTAGGATTCCAGTTAGGGACAAGCTACTTATCGAAGCTTCCCTCACAAACAGCCATCACCGCATCGTTACGGAAGAAATTCCCAGACGCTCCTCCTTCGCCACCAATACCTTCTCGGTCTCCAGTAATTGTATCAACGCCAATACCACCTATAGAGGAAGTCGAAGACACAGTATCTCCACAGCTCCCGCCGCCGCTACCTTCAAAATCAAACCTAACAGTAACCATTGTTGCGAACGTTCAAGTTAGCCCCGGTGGTGCCGCCTCATATACCACAGTTGCATCCGCTTCAGATTCTTCAGAAGGTCCCAAAGTCAGCAAAGCTCGAAAAACTAAATCTGATCGCCCACCGCCCCGTGGACGTCGAAAAATTGTCGCAACAAAGGTTACGACCACCAAAGCGACAACAGGGCGGACTACAGTAGCGTCCAAGAAGAATATGCTGCGGCCGGCATTGCCAAAACGGAAGAGTAGTAGTTCGTCGAATACGGCGGTCAACACGGCAGTCTCGAGCCCGAGCAATACGTTGACAGTCGACGTTGCGCGGTCATTGCCGTCGTCGAGCCAGCAAAGACAGGAGAGGAAACGGAATTCTTCGACGGAAGGTGACGACGAGGAATCGAGGAGGAAGGGCGATGCAGTAGGAAGTGGATGGGTCGTGGACCCAGATTTTAGGACAAAGTACCTGGAACAGAAGAACAAGGAAAAGCTGGGAACTTTGACGAAAGCCGTTTCGACAATTGCTGTGAGCGAAGCTGTAACGAAGGCTTCGAGAAGGGGAAAAGGAAAGAATGTTCTAGTGGTTGATGAAATTGTATCATTGAAGGGACTGTCGGAGGATATGGGGGATGTTCAGGTGGCACCTATTGTCAGCGTGCGTGATGTGGAAGTTGATGAGCAAACGTCAAATTTACCAAGACGGAAATCCGAATTAACACTTCTATTCGAGGGAGCGAAGAAGGCCGGAGAAAAGAACGGGAGGGAGCGCAGCACCAAGAAGGTGCAAGTAATAATTGAAGGAGAGATCCGACGGTAATCGTGCAGGCAAGACCACTTGGGTACTGTCTGTATTTATGTCAGTCGGGCGGGGGTGTGTGAGAGAGATCGAAACATTGCGGGATTCGAATGTGAAGCGGAGGTACAAAGGTTATTATTTGCATTTCCCTTGTCGGGCAACGGGGATGTTCCCTGCTGTCTGGCCGGGGGCCCGGCGCCGCGTCTGTTTTCTTTCTTTCTCCTAGTTAAAAAAAGAGCTTGGTTTATAACGGAAAAGTCTGTTTTTTGTGTTTTTGTTTTTGTTTTGTTTTCCTTCTTGGTTCGTCTCTTTCATGTGTGTGTGCGCGTTAGTTTCGATCGGCCCTGGATGGGTCCTTATCATTTAATTCAGGATGAAATATATGTTTTTTTCCTTTCCCTTTCCTTTTCCTTCCGTACGTACCGTTCCTTTATAAACCTTTGTGTACTTGAGGGGTGGGGGGCGCAAGTCAAAAATCTGCCCCCCACCGAGACAGAATTTACAGCAGATCTTGGGACGGTTCCTCCTCCCCTTACACTTTATACAAGTACCTATTACTTCTTCTCATCATTGTCGGCGTCGTCATCATTGGCCCCTGGCCTGGCTACGTGTTTTCGAGATCGACTTTTTTTACTTTTTCTTCCTCAACTGTTTTTTACTTTTTGCGTCCGTCCCGGTCCAGCTTCTAGGGACAGCTAGATAGATAGCTCTAGCTACCTGGTAGCCAGTTATCGGTGGTAGCACTATCACTGACACTGCCTGGCGGAGTAGCTGCTGTGGTCGGTGCGAACTGCGTGTAATTAATTGGGTTTCGTAGATTCGATTCAGATAATAAACTCCTGGCTTAACTTTCCGAGCCGTACCACCTCTCTCTTACAATTACTCTAAAAGAAAGAAAAAAGCTTATGCTGATCATTGACTATCTGGCCCACTCTACTTTACCAGCTAGAGTGCCTAGAGTGCCTAGAGTCTAAGTAAAGTAACAACTACTCTAAACATCCCTACACCTACCTGTAACCAAGAATCATACAAAGTATCAAGTATCGGCGTAGCAGCTCTAGCTAGTACCAAGATCTGATCTCTGGCCCGGCCTGTGAACCCTGCATCGATCAAGGACAAGGTACACAAACAGCCTCGCCCAAGATGATCATCGCGGTCGTAGCCTGGAACGGGCTGTCTTGGTTTCCGGGGTACGGTTGACGTTACATACGTTGGGGGATTTGGTCTTGGTTGGCATCTCGTTTCCTTGGAGTTGCCGGGCCCTGGAGGTGGCCCGGTGGTGGAGTACTGATATCATGCAGGGCTGGTGGAGAGGTGTTTGGTACAATAGTGTAGGCAGGTAGGTGGTTAGGTAGTTAGGTGTGTCACGGGTCACTGGGATGGATGGGGGAGGTCATTGGACTGACTGACTCGTTAGTTGACTGGTACCAGTCAATGACTGGTTGGTTAGTTTACTGTGTGGTTGGTTCGTGAGAGTGAAGATGGGGGGCGGGGAGGGCAGAGGGAGCTAGTCACCTGTCGTGTCGTGAACACCGAGTAGAGATGTGCACTAATAATGAGAAACAAAATGACAGATAATAATTTCCTTCACTTCCGTTTCTTTGGCTCTAAAAAGCGCGGGCTGAAACTTTAAACCATACGATGCATATGCATATCCATCCATATACACGGGATAGAACAAAATAAAGGCGAAATAGACCACACCCGGCCGGGCAGGGCAGATAGCAAGTAGTTGCTCGTACTCAGCCTACTAAACTCACGATACCTATCGCTATAAAACCGACCCGGAAGGATCCATATATCCTATCCACTATCTCAGTCTCAGTCTAGCTATCATAGTCACGAGTCGAGAGAGTAAGAGGGAAACGATAGATAACGTCCAGACCGGAGATATCAGAAATTCCAAACCAAGCTCACGTTACCAGGCCAGATAACTGTAGGATGCCGTTTGATATTGCAGTTTACAGTTACAGTTACGCGCGGTTATAGTTAATTATGATTACGCTTGACTCGATATCACGTTGCACTGCTGCGCTGCTGTGGTGGGTATAGAGAAATTAAACTCTCCTTAGGTAGAGCTACTAACAAAAACCAATCCAGAGCACTCGTAGAGTAGATTACTAACCAAGTCTTACCACCACTCGTCCCCTCGTACGACCCGCTATACCCTCCCCTAAGTGCCAATTATTAAACGCAACCCCCCCGATCGGCCATCCTCACCAAGATCTAGAATTCCCAGCACAGCTGTGACCCGCCAGCAGGAAATAGTGCCAGCGAGTAAGGGCTCAAGGAGATCTTTTTGCGCGGGGACACGCTGGGCGAGATCCAGGGTGGTGTAGAGGACGGGGGGTTTATGCTAAATGACGGTGACGGAGGGGAGGGTGCAGGGATCAGGTGTGGGGACGGTGGAGGGGTGGTGGTGACGTAGTGGGTATACTAGGGGAGTGCTGTTGGGGGTGATTCAAATCGGTCAGTGCGGCCTTGCGGGTTTGAGTGGGAGGGGGTAGGGGGTGAAGTGGAAGAGGTACATAGAGAAGGGAAGTAGGAGAAGGGGGATAGTGTAGATATGTAGGTACGCTGCTATACTTTATTTTACCTACATATACACATTCTCTACATGTCATATA